TCACAGGACTCAGGGTCCTGATGATTAAGGGATTCGGCCATTGACTCCACGAGAGCTTTGAATATCTTCTGCCCTGAGCTTATTTACGGCAGTCGGCGAACTTAAAATTATTATGTTTGGAGTGCTTATTGCAGGGACCTCATCATCTTTAGTCATGCGAGAATCTTTGTGGGATATTTTTGTGTGGCCAATTCCGAGTCTTGTGATTATTACCTAGTAGGTACTTATTTGGTTATCTAGTATCTATACTAAAGTCGAAAAAAATATTGGCTATTTGATGTAAATAATATACATAAACACCTAAATTCATATATATAGTGTTCATAAAATGTAATATTCCTATATAAACTTCATACCTATAAAATTAATGTTATAAATGTAATGTATGAGAAGTATTAATACTTTGGGGTAGCTTTGTGGTGTCGTTTACTTCATATGATACCTACCTATACTACATGTGTAGTGTGTATTACACAAAATAATATTTTATGTTATGCACTGTAAATGCGCAATGTAGATACCCAATTGTTTGTTAAATAAATAATAATATTAATAATAAATAAATCATCTGTAATAATAATTTTTTGATTATGATACTTAGCATATATATTAATTATCCTAAGATTCTATAGGATATGGGTAATGATGATACTTTACTGGCATTAAAGAATTTAAGAGAATAACAAGAAATACAAAAAAAAAGCAAATACAAATAAAATACAAAGTTTTGATGCTAAATGTTTTGATCTATGTTAACAATTAGATTAATTTCCTTCGTAATTTAGAGAAAAAACCCTCCGAGGTTTGTGTCTTGAATTCTTAAAATATTAGTGGCATAATTGCATAAAGACTTAGGTACCTAATATGAGTTACTGACGTTACTGTACAATTTATGTTACTCTTTATTATATATTTCGTGACAATTATCAGTAAAATTTACATGGTTTTTTTTTATTATAAAAACTGTACTTATTTTTACAATATGTACACAATATATAAATAGTACAATAACAAAATAAATTGAAAATGTGATTCAATAAAGAAGAGGAAAAGTCGACCATTGGTACCCCTAAAAGATTGGCAATTTATTATTTATTTTGTACCAAATGTTATGGCTAAATATGATTATTTTATAAATTATTTTCTTGAAAATATGTTATATTTTAAAATTAGATCTGGTAATGTACATATATACATGTATATTATATTATATATATATTTATCTATCTGGTGGTCATATAAATAGGAGACCTAACCACATATGATAACCAAGAAAATTACGAGTATGAAAATTCAGTAAGAAAATAACACAGTATCCTAGGTCGTAAATATAAGTTATCGCTGTCACTGTTTGTTAGAGTGTTAAGACATAAATACTTTTCCGTTCCAAAATGCATAGAATGAAAAACAAATGTTGCTGTGGTATGTTTAGGAAATAATATTGTCTTGCTATAATGAGTAGCTTTTTTGGAAATAAAATTTTTTCACATTTCATGAAATGGAACATAAAAATAAAACGTAAACCTAATAAGCAAGACATGTCCATGTAACCAAAATGTTTTTATTATTATCTTTAAGTTTCTAAAAACAGTAAAAATAGCTCAAGAAAAATGATGAAAATCAATAGGAGACAAATTATTGAAAATAAAAGATTAAAATATTTTGAAACGAAATCATACATGTTCACAACTTCAAAGTTTTTCTGAATAACATTTGACTTATACTTATTCTTGAGTTGTGCATGCAGTAATGTTTATGACTAGAGACCGGATTTTTATGTTTTTACATATTATTTCTGAGGCTATGCAGTATTTTTGGGTGATGTTTCTCGACGCTTCATTTAACAATAAATATTCATTTGCATAAAAATGCATATTAAGACGTTAGGGAATATTTTATACATTATGACAAATTTTAGGAATATTTCTTCTATTTGAACAATAAATATCAAGGTACCCACATTTAAAAAAAATAGTACAAATATAGGAAATGTACATTTTTGATTACATTTTAATACAACACTGGTATTATCAGAGTTAGTGTGGGATACTTTTTTCTGTAGAAAATTGTAAAATGTAGAACATAAAGAGTTCGATTTTTTATGAAACATGTTTGTTCAAGTCGTTAATTGTTTATTTTGATTTTTTATAGTTTTTTATGTACAATAAACACATTAAAAAGTTGATTTAAATTGTTATTCTTGTAGTTCTATTATCTAAGTTTTAAGTTGTAACAATGATATCATAATATAACTAGGTAGGTAGTCATTTTTTTTTTGTAAAAACATATTCAAAGGTTAATGAATATTTAAGATATGAGGATATGAGGATATTTCCCTATATTTTTGCTGTGTAAAACATTTTATTTCATTGTTTATTAGAACATTAAAATCCGGTTTGTACAAGATATAATAATATAAATAAATTGTTAAATACTTTAATGTATAGATTATGAAAAACAGCAAAAAGAGAAATTTTTATGTGATAATCAACCCATTCAACTTGTTGCTTTTCATACATTTTGAAAATGCTTTTATAGTAATTTATTTGAAATTGTTTATACGATATGACAATCAACATACCCACCCAAGTGATTCATTTTAAACAGTAACTTACTCAACGTATGAAACATATCGCTGCAGTCATGCAATAGCAATACTAATTAGTATTATTCATAAATAATAAATAAAGCTATTGTTATTAAGTATGTTCCTATAAATTAATATAATATTATCTATGAAAGTTGAACTTTTTTGTATGTTTAAATTATTTGATTATAGTTAGGTACTAAGTAATAAGTAGGTATGCGTCATTATATGAATTGATAAGGGACCATTTAATTAACGTCGTACTTATATTTGTGAATAACTTAATCATCTACATATTATGCTTAAACCCAGATATTTTATCATAGAATTTAAGTAATCCTTTTTTAATACATTTTTATTTCTATTATATAAATATTTAAGTTTACATAAAATATATCCTTTTTATAGCTTAAATGAAACGAATATAATGTTGAATGCAGCAGATAAGTCATGTATTTAATGATTCATACAATTTATGTATAGACGAAACGATGTAGGTAGTATAGTGAATAGTTGATATTATTGGGATCATAAACTTCTATTATATTGTGAACCTAGTTTGATCTATTTGCACTAGTCACTTATTTATTAGTATCATATTAATCTTAATTTTTTTGTGTAAATTCATGTTTATATTCTGTATGTTTACTTTATTATTTCAAGTTGACGAACAAAAGAAATGTATGAGCTATACCTATAATACAACATTATTCAGTAATTTTGATTAAAAATTATCTTTTCAAATAAGGTAAACTTTGGTTTTAGATTAATGTTCTATCTATTAAAATGAATTGTATTTTATTGTAATTTAAACACTTTAGTATGTGATCAAATTATTAATATTAAGTTTCTATAGTTAATACGTTTAAAAAATAATAATGACATCATTTTTATTACTCAAATCATAATACCTAGGTATACAAATAAAATATTGATATGATACATTTAATTTAAAAATAATTGTATAAACACAAAATGTAAATGTTAATACATTTTATAAAATACAAAAGATAATAATTTGACTTTTTTATAACATGATTTATTATATTTAGCATATTATAGAGGCAGTCGTCACCTTAAACGTTATTTTAATGAGGTATAATCTAAAATCGGAAATATGGAATTTCTGTAGAATGGATTAGTTACGAAAAACAGATTTTGTATAATAATACTAATTTTTATGATAATAAACAAAATCATGGCATTATCATTATTATCTTACTAAATGTTTAAAAAATGGCAAGCATAAAATAAATTGGATTTAAATCATCAATAAGAAAATGAAACTATTTAGGTGAAGAGTGACAAGCGAATAAAATCTAAATAATTTTAATACCTAATTTAAAATGCATGAAAAATATTATAATAGCAGTGGATGAGAGTCAATCTTTTTTTCTTTTTTTTATAATAAATGTTTAGTATTTATTATTACATAGAAATTATAAGTAAGTACCAAATTATAAAATTAACTTTATTTATTTTTTATTAATCTGTTAAAGTGATAAATATTATGATGAAAAATTAAACATGTCAAAACGTCAGATCTTATAGTATTATTATACCTAATATCAACCATAATATTATGATTATAATTTATCACTCACATTATATTTTAAATGTAATCATGATTTAACTAAATAATGAATCTAAACGCTGCTTAGTACTTAAAACATTTTTTACAGCCGAGTCTTCAGAATTATTATTTTTGATATTATTTTTGAGTAACTATTACAATAGGTTTATTACTACGATCGCCCCAATGATATTTTAAAGGTCCATTTACTAGTCGACATTTTTCTAAAATATATTTTCTAAATGTTAATTTTCAACATAAAATGCAGACCATGGTTTATAAATTGTAGTGACATTTACGAATTAATTAAAAATAAATACAAATTAACGAACAATAATATGCTTCAAATAAAATGTTCATCGTGTCTACCGAAACATTTTATTCGACAATTGTAGCCATTTCACATGGTCATCCGGCGGTCTGTAATGTCCAATATCCTGCGCCTGTGCATTATTCGTTCAACTTTCCCCATCCGGCCTGTACGAATCAGGTCGAGGAAATTTTTAACCATCGGTTTATCATCGTCGTGAGGTTTTTTCTTTCGTTCTTTCTTTTCTTTCGTATTAAAAACAATGGTCGGATGACAACCGCGTGTGATGATCTACTTGTGTGACGGAAAACCGTTTCATCATCGACGACGACAACGGCAGCGGCAGCGTCTGTGGCAGTGGCAGTGGCAGTGGCGGTAGAGGTGGCGGCAGTGGTGGCGGTCGCAGTGCCGACGGACGTTTCTCCCCGCCATCAAAACGCTCGGCTTGCACCAAGTCTCGTTCCGGTGCACCATCCGACGAACATTCCGTCTTCCGCTATCGACCAGACCGGTATACTGTTTAGTTCGCGATGTTTTACGAGATGCGTGACAAGCAATATGATTCCGGGTCGTCGTGCCTGGGCCGGTGCTGGGTGTTGGTGGCCATGTGCGGGTTACTCATTACCGTATCGTTCATCGGGATGACTCTGTGGCTCGGCATGAACAGCAGGCCGGATGTGCCGGCGGCCGTGTACCAGCCACCTGTGCACGCGGTCCCGAACGTTCACAGACAACACCACTACGAGGTGACAACGGTCAAATCGGCGTTCCCGACGGCCGACTACGACGCGATGCCCACCACGAGCATAAAGAACAAAAAAGGCAGGATCGAAATAGTCGAACACGAGAAAATTGAGAAAATGGCCAAAATCGAACCGACTACTCCGACTTCAAGGGTCGAGCCGAAGCTCGACGACGGCGTGAGCCCGGTAGAAGACACCATAGAGCCGTCGAGGGTGAACGGGGTGAGAAAAAAGAGCGAGGTAGTGTATCCGAATTGGTCCGAAATGGAAGGAAAAATCGAGGACGAGGTGGAGCCGCCGCAAGAATTCCAACCTTATTACGTGAGCGAGCAACCGGACACACAAAAGTTCAACCCTATACCCGCGTTCTCCTACCTCAAAGAACACCCAATCCGACTGTCAGGAAAAGACATTCGACCACCGGGCACCTCTGAAAGCGAGGAGTACCCTTATTTCTATCCGCAGTTCGAGGACGTAACGCCCGCAGACGAGAAAGCCGTAAATCCAGTGTTCACATTTTTGCGGAAAAGGTTACAGGACGTTCGCGATTGGTTAGCCCAGTCAGGCACCCGAAAGAATCAGAGTCAATGGATTCAAATGGTTGACGCTGTTAATCAATCGCTGTACACGAAAAATGCTACGATCGTATTGTCTAAGCTCCGTGAAATGTACGCCAACACCAGTGATGTAGCTGCCGACACGCCTGTAGCTAGCTTAATTTATCCAGCTGCCGCCAACGATTCCGCCGCCAGCCTAGTTTCGTTCGGACTGTTGGCCATCGATCTTTTTCTGTTGCACAACGTTCAGCAAATTGCACTTAACGAAGACGCGGAAGCCGGGCAGCAAATGCTCAACGACCCGGACGTGGTGGCATTGAATGCGCTGTTTTTGCCTCCCGACCGTGTTAAGCAACTGCGGTCAGCCAATTCGAGAGTGCTACAGGACGACCGTCGTGATAGGAACCCCAAAGGATTCGTATCTGAATTGATGGAGTTTGTCAACGGTGGTTTAAGAGCTATACTCAATCTGAGTAGGGCGTATAGGAGCAGCTCTCGGGCGGCCAAGGCTGAAGGAAAAAGCGTGGGTGATAACCCCACTGCTAGTGGATCATCGTTGGATTGCATTTGGACGTTATACTGTCGAAATTTAGACAAGACTGCTAAACTGGACGGACCCTATGGATTTTTAGCGAAGATGAACAGGTACATTTTAACATTATTTTATTTTAATTCACAAAAAAATATTTTTTCCCGATTTTCCTCAAATAAATTTTTTTATAAAAAGAAAAAACCAAATGTTTCTATAATGAATTTGTTCTAAATTATAAATTGAATAAATAAACCAGTTCAAAAACTAAATTTTTTTAAAAAGTTTAACAATTTAAATTCCTGATATAGTGTTAGTTGATCTATTTAAATTAGATTGCATCGTTTTGAGTGTTTAAATTATTATTGTTTTAAATTGAACAATATTATCATGATTAGATTTAAAAAAATGTATGTGTGGTTTGGGCTTTAGGATCCATAGTAATAATTATGATTAGGAATTCTTATTATAAGAACAATATAATATATATATTATAAATTATAAAAATGTGTATAACCAATAAATAAATAAATGTATATTATTAAAATATCAAAAAAAAAAAAATGCCTCAATAACGTATACATAGTACTTAGGTACTGATTTAAAGTGATATACTATTATATAGTAGACTTACTTGAACGAATTGATAGCTTCTATGTTCTGTTTATTATTCATTCCATAACTTTCCACGTCAATATTACTAAACATTTTAATGAATATAACAATAACATATATTCTTATGCGCTTTAAGTATTATCATGTATTTACAAATAATTATAAATGAAAACCCTGTCAACTATGACAATTTTTTTGGTTTCTCAACAATTTCCGAAACAGAAAATATACCATAATGGTATCGGGAGCACTGATTCGGGACTTATGTTTGAATCACTAGGAACTTAATTGCTTACATATGTCCAGTGCTACACTATATTTTAATTTCTGCAGAATCGCGTCTTTTAACACGTATATTGGAGACCATTATTATTGAATTGTCTATCCCTACAATTTCTATTAGTACTACAGTGTACATTATACCAATATTTGTATTCGATGGTGGTTATTACTGTGTTAAGCTTTTGATATTAATCACTATAACAGTTATTCTCAATTTCCAACACACGGGTTACTATTAGAAGGCACCGTGGTTTATGTATACTATTGCACGAAACTTTGCAAATATCTGGACTATTGAAATTTATCTGAAGATAAGGCTGTCATTAATTTCGTATTACAAAAAGAAAGTACAACATGTACACAAATAATTTATACGATGATTATAATTTATAATACAACTATTTTTGAGTTGGGTTTACAACGATAATACAGTACATATATGAACTATGGACCTACCTTCTTGAATCACTACAGCGAGGAAGTTAAATCAAAGTCCGCGTTAAGCAAATATCATAATCCCTAATGAATATTCAACGTATTCCAACATTGGCGTGTTTAGAACAATATTTCGCAGATATGGCCAAGTGTATTTTTTTGGGAAGTATAAAAATGTTCCTTGTACTCAATCAGTGCAGATCAGTTCAGCTGACAATTTTTTGTAACTCTCAGGTCTGGCCATCGACAGAGTGACCAAACACATAAATACGCTTTTGATCACATTGGTCTTCGTACAATGTGACTTTCACACCGATCCATATAATATTTTCATAAGTGCCGCGCGCGGACATTTTAAACACGTTTATAGAAACGCATTACATTCTAAACACCTACGGCACGATACAATTTAAAACGTGTTCGTATATAGGAGATAGGTATTATTATGCTAAATTAGTTTTTCTAAAATATTTACCCACCGTTCATAACACCCGCCGAACCTTATTTCTGAATATTATTTACTACTGTTTTCTTCTGTGGCGCAAAAAACCGAGCACGTGTGAACCGTGTAAAATACGTTTTCTCGGGACAAATAAGGAAAAATAGCATCGTCGCTCTATGATGATGTGTTTAACGGGGAATTATTATTCACGTTCATTAGCATTGTGAAGCAACCATAACATTATATAGGTATTATATTATAGCGGTCAATCAGGCGTGAAACTGGACGACGGCGTTTCAAAACATAATACTTTGTTGTTTACAATGTTGACGATGTATATCTATATTTAAAACCCCTAAGATAAAAATATCTATCGATCACAGCCCCCCCCCCCCCACATCAAAATTTGGGCCCCCGTTCTAAATATTTTTGGGGGAGCTATACGAAATTCCCAACAAAATACAACCCATTACAAGCGATACGAGTGTCCCATGTACGATTTCTAGGTAATCAATGGTTAACTTACTTACAACTTAAAATAAACAATTATTTAATATATTATAATATACATTTATATCATAAAATATTATTTAATATAAAATAAGTATTCCTATCAAAATTTCAAAAATTACAAATGTATTTCAATTAAATAGCTGGGTCGCCGTAATCCAGGTCCGATAGTCCCTCTCTCCCTTGTGGGGGGCCCGGATCTATCATATTTTTCAAACGTCGTTGCGAGTTAAATACCACCGGTGTCCGTACAATGTTGTAACCTTATAGTCTATAGGTATATTTTGTATTGATGGAGCAAACCAAAATATTAATAATAATGTGTCGAGCTGTAAATCACTAACCGATACCCTATAGGTATGTACGTACTACGTATTACATATTATGTATTATAATATAGAGAGCGAACGAGTAGGTAAATGAAATGTTCGAATAAAAATACTTACATTGTTAATGTGATTGGCCGTTCGTCCGTGTGAAGTGTTTTAAATTATAATCGGAACAAAGGAGCTATATTCATGTATTTTACAATCATATATTATATATTATACACTTTATAGGTATATTTAAATTATCTGGAGGCTAGGACTGTAAAAGCTAAAAATACTCTACCGACTACCACTAGTTTCGAATAGTTCATTGATTAAGTGATCACTAATTTTATTGTACTTATGAAAAATAATCTTTAGACATTCCAGTAGTTTTGGAAAAATAAATGTCAGCAAAGCTATTACAAAATCGTTTAAATGTCGATTACACTCTTTCCACTCTTTAGAAATGCAGTTTTATTATTTTTACATTAATGTGCAAAGTGCTTCTTCACAATTTAATTTATCATTAAATAAGTTAGTTCTACTGTTCTATACAAAATAGAAAAATGTTCATTAAACTGTAAAACATTAGTGCCTAACGTTAAAAACATGAATTCATGCTTATAAGATTAAGTATTATTTAAATTTAGATTTATTTTGATAACATTTAATCTTGAAATTACCTACTTATGGTATGACATTTTAATGTTTGAACTTTGATTCATTCTATTAAATTCTAATTGTAATAAAACATACCTTGAGAAAGTTTTAACATAAAGCTTATACATTTGCAAATTCAGTTTACAAATAGATACAACTTTTTGCTCACCGAGATGAATGAAATGAATTTTTATAATTATTGATTTGTTATTATATTTTCTTTTTATTGTGTTTATTATTAGTTACATAGTTATAACTTATAACTTATAACTTATTCGAGTTCCCGAAAAAAAATCTCAGGTAAAATACCGTATGTACTTATCGTTTTAATGTCAGTGTAAAATAGTAAAGTAGTAGAAATACTTATAATATTACTGTGTGTGTTGCTGGGTATCAAATTGATAATTATTATGCCATTGAATATTGTTACAATATTTTTATTTTTATATGGATTATTTTATTATTCTATTTTTATTCCATGTTACAACTTTTTATGTATTATATGTGCCAACATTTGTCATACGATAAATAAATAAATAAATAATATACTAATAATTAATATTTAATAGCTATTTACGTTGACTATACTTAATTTTTAATTCCACAAATAATATCTACTAGGTAATGAATAAATAAATTAACTAATATTATAATATTTTTATACTATTAATTATTATATTTGGATAGGTATGCCAACTATTTACTCGAGTATTATATTATAATTACATTTCTGCTATTTTTTTTTTTTACCTAGCTCATTATAATAATAATAATAATAATATTTATTGTTACCAAATTAAAATTAAATGTACAAAACATGTAATAAGCATAAACTAATTAGTCTTTGGTTCTCTTTTCAAAAGCAAAGCATGTGCAGAAAAGACATATTATTGACATATTAAGACACATTATATTGACATTTTTTCCATAGGATATTTTACTGGCAATATTATTTCTTTGCAGTGTATTGGTTACGCGACATGTCATTGAAAATTTTCTTTAGGTGTAGTTGTGTACCCATAGTTATGTAAGTACCGAGTTTTTAAAAAGCTTGAATGAAAGTAGTTGATTTTTCAATAAAATAAAGAAAAACGTACACGATTTGGAGCACTAAATTGTTTTCCAGGCTGTATAAGTCTCAATAAAAGTTTTGGAAATAGTTGTATTGTTTGTGAATGATGACGGTCATTCTATAAAATTGGATTTCGGTCATTTTTGGGTCGTTAACTACTTTTTTTTTGGTCCACATTTGAAAATGGTTTATTGTCTTTTGAAAATAGTAATTGAATTAAGTACCCTTTAGTGTATCAGATTTCCCGCCTTTTTAATGTAACGTAATAAGTTTATTTTTAAAAAATGGTTAACTGACGGTTTCCACTTTCCAAAAAAAAAAAAATAAGCTGTGTAGGTACTTTTTGCAAAAATATTTAAATTTATATTAGTCAAATTATTTTAATTTAACACTTAAAACTAAAAAGGTTGGCAAGTGGATGTCACTCTGCTGTACAGTAGGTTACAAGTGGGTCACTGTATAATGGATGGTATTAAATTTGAATTGAATGATATAATTACATTGCATAAGAAAAACGATTCTGAGTGGAGACGGTATGTCAGTCTAGGTATAAGACATATTATATACTTACTTAACTTTACTATGGTATTAAAAAAAAATTGATCTATAATAGGTACCTATAAGAAATTCCAAATTAATCATATCACAATATCCATTAGGTACTTACAACGCGTTATACATCAACAACAAACCGTGATACTAGGTATCATAGATATATAATAGTATACTTTAGAAGTTTCAAGTTTCAAGTACCCACGAATAATATTATACAATCACAACAAAATAATT